GAGACGGGGTTTCACCATGTTGACCAGGATGGTCTCGATCTCTTGACCTTGTGATCCACCCGCCTTGGCCTCCCAAAGTGCTGGGATTATAGGCTTGAGCCACCGTGCCCGGCCTCTATCAGTTTTTATTAAAGAAACAAAAACAGGCCAGTCGCGTGGCTCACGCCTGTAATCCCAATACTTTGAAAGACTGAGGTGGGTGATCATCTGAGGTCAGGAGTTCAAAATTAGCCTGGCCAACATGGCAAAACACCATCTCTAATGAAAGTACAAAAATTAGCTGGGCATTGTGGCAGATGCCTGTAATATCAGCTACTCAGGAGGCTGAGGCAGAACTGCTTGAACCTGGAAGGTGGAGGTTGCAGTGAGCCGAGATCGTGCCACAGCACCCCAGCCTGGGCAGTATGAGCAAGACTCCACCTAAAAGATTTTTTAAAAAATAAACAAAACCTCTCTAGTAGGAAAAGACTTCTCTCTAGTATGAAGTCTATGATGACATACAAGGTTTGATTTTTGTTTAAAAACCTTGCCGTATTTATTTCACTTGTAAGGTTTCTCACTAGTATGACATCTATAATGACATGCAAGGTTTGACTGTTAATAACCTTGCCACATTCATTACACTTGTAAGGTTTCTCTCCAGTATAACTGCCTTATCAATAACAAGGGCTGAATTTTGATCAAAGGTCTTGCCACACCATTATACCTGTAAGGTTACTCTCCTGTATTAGTTTGCCAGTAAAGTGCAAGGTCTGAAGAATGTCTGAAAAATCTGCCACATTTATTACACTTGTAAGATCTCTCTTCATTATAGATTCTCCGATGACTTGCTATGGTGGTAGCGTTACTGAAGACTTGGTGACAATCATTACGTTAGTAAAGTTTCCCTACACCATGGATTGCTTGATGGTGAATAAGTGTTGACTGATACCTAAAGGCTTGGCCACACTCATCACACTTGTAAGGTTTCTCTCCACTGTGAATTCTAGTATGTTGTGCCAGGTGTGAATCACGCCCGAAAGCCTTGTCACAAACCTTACATTTGTATGGTTTCTCTCCAGTATGAATTCTCCTATGTCTTTTAAGGTGTGATTTGCTACTGAACATTTTGTCACATTCTTCACATTTGTAAGGTTTCTCTCCAGTATGAAGTCTACAATGAAGTGCAAGGTTTGATTTTCGATTAAAAACCTTGCCACATTCATTACACTTGTAAGGTTTCGCTCCAGCATGAATTGTCTTATGAAATAGAAGGTATGAATTTCGACCAAAGGTTTTGCCACACTCATCACACTTGTAAGGTTTCTCTCCAGTATGAATTGCCTTATGACTTACAAGGGCTGAATTTTGACCAAAGTTCTTCCCACACTCATTACACTTGTAAGGTTTTTCTCCAGTGTGAAGTCTATGATGGGACGTAAGTGATGACATGTAACTGAAGGTCTTGTCATACTCATTACATTTGTAAGGTTTTTCTCCAGTGTGAAGTCTACGATGGGATGTAAGTGATGACGTATAACTGAAGGTCTTGTCACACTCATTACACTTGTAAGGTTTCTCTCCAGTATGAAGTCTACGATGGCAGGTGAGGTATGACGCCTGACTGAAGGTCCTGCCACACTCATTACACGTGTAAGGTTTCTCACCAGTGTGACATCTACAATGGCGTGCAAGGTATCGCTTCTGATTAAAGACCTTGCCACATACATCACATTCATATTTTTTCTCTCCTAAATGGATTACCTGATGTTTCCCTAAGAGTGATCTGCAATTAAAGGTTTTGCCACTCTCATGAAATTGGAAAGATTTTTCTTTCATGTGTACTTTCTGTATTTGTGTGAGAAATGAAGTATGAAGGAAATTAATCCCATAGTTATTAGAAATATGGGTTTTGGGCCTACAAGAAATTCTTTGGGATGCTGAAGCAGAGGAAGCATCGGTGACAGATTTTTCAACTTGATTACCAATATTCCCTTCAGTCTGAAATATGTGGAGTTCAGGGAGATGTGAATGAAAGCTTAATCCAAGCTGATCTTTAATAGGCTTGTTTTCAGCATGCCTTTCATCATATTGGTCTGTACTACTAGGAAGCTCTTTGGTTTCTGCCATGGGTGCTTCATGGCCATTTCTTTCATCTTCTTGCCACTGAAACTCAAAGTCATGAATATCTTTCTCAATTTTCTGGAAGCAAAAATTTTCAATGTGATGACTTTCATGTGTTTCCAATGTCCCTGTGTGGAACACTTTTGTATTGCCTGGCCCTGTGGATGAAAACTCTTTCATCATGCATTTGGAAGAGATGTCTACAAAATATAAAAACCAACAGATTATGCATCCAATTAGATACATAATGCTAAAATGTGTAAACACGACACAAAAATAATACCTATTTTAAACTTTCCAAACATGATCTTCAAAGTTTAGGAACACAAAAGGAGTGAGGTTATTTAATAAATAAAGAAGAATTACGTGGACTTCAAACCATTTCTACAGAAGCCTATTTCCAAAATCATGAGAAAACACTGACCAGACACCAGCATGTGTGAGCCTAAAGCAAGGAGTATTTTTCCACTGTGACCATAAAGTGTATAACAGTCTGCAAAAAAATATCATTGTCACATCAATGAAGAGAAACATATGTATTCTTCATATTTATAGCATATTTCCTGTATACAAATAAATGCTAAAGAACCACACAGTATACTGTATTGATAATCCTTTATGAGCTCATATAAGGATAGCCAATATCAATGGGAATTCAGTATTGTCAAACAATCATAGCACTGAGAAGATAAGAAAAGATTACAAAAATTAGTCAGGCATGGTAGTCCCAGCTACTCTGCAGCCTGAGGGACAAAAATCGCTTAAACCCAACAGGAAGAGGTTGCATTGAACCGATATGGCACCACTGCACTCCAGCCTGAGCAATAAGGTGAGATTCAGTCTCAAAAGAAAAAACAAAGAAAAGAAAAAAAGTTAATACAATATTTTTCTGAATAAATGTTATAAAATTACCTATATCTATGCAGAACAGGCACTTTGTGGCATTAAAAAAAATTTTTTTTTGTATTTTCACTTGTTTGAGACAGAATCTTGCTCTGGCCCCCAAGGTGGAATGCAATAGCGCAATCAGGGCTCACGGCAACCTCCACCTCCTGGGTTCAAGCAATTCTCCTGCCTCAGCCTCCCGAGTAGCTGGAATTACAGGCCCGTGCCACCATGCCCGGCTAATTTTTCTATTTTTAGTAGAGATGAAGTGTCATCATGTTAGCCAGGCTGGTCTTGAACTCCTGACTTCAAGTCATCCACCCACCTCAGCCTCCCAAAGTCCTGGGATTACAGGCATGAGCTACTGCGACTGGTAGGAGTTTGTGACATTAGCGAGTGGAGCGTGTCAGTTATATTGCATACCACATACCAAAAAGCCATATGTATAATCATAAAAATAAAGTATTGTAACCCATACAAAGTATTGTAACTAGCAAGCAAATAATAAGTCCATTTATACAGCCTGCAGAATTCTAAACAATTTCCTCTTATGAAAAAAAGCCACAACTTCTACTTGCCACCAGCACATAATATAAGAACTGAAATACATGTTAACATCACTACCTTCTGATGCATGAGGTCAAGAAAATACACAGCATTATAAGGAATGAGAATTGAGCCGGGCGCGGTGGCTCAAGCCTGTAATCCCAGAACTTTGGGAGGCCAAGGCAGGTGGATCACGAGGTCAAGAGATCGAGACCATCCTGGTCAACATGGTGAAACCCCGTCTCTACCAAAAATACAAAACGTCAGCTGGGCATAGTGGCATGTGCCTGTAATCCCAGCTACTCAGGAGGTTGAGGCAGGAGAATTGCCTGAACCCAGGAGGCGGAGGTTGCGGTGAGCCGAGATCGTGCCACTGCACTCCAGCCTGGGTAACAAGAGCAAAACTCCTGGCCGGGCGCGGTGGCTCAAGCCTGTAATCCCAGCACTGTGGGAGGCCGAGGCGGGTGGATCACGAGGTCAAGAGATCGAGACCATCCTGGTCAACATGGTGAAACCCCGTCTCTACTAAAAATACAAAAAATTAGCTGGGCATAGTGGCGCGTGCCTGTAATCCCAGCGACTCAGGAGGCTGGGGCAGGAGAATTGCCTGAACCCAGGAGGCGGAGGTTGCGGTGAGCCGAGATCGCGCCATTGCACTCCAGCCTGGGTAACGAGCGAAACTCCGTCTCAAAAAAAAAAAAAAAAAAAAAAGGAATGAGAATTGAAAATGGCCGGGTGCAATGTCTCACACCTGTAATCCCAGTACTTTGGGAGGCCGAGGCAGGCAGATCACAAGGTCAGGAGTTTGAAAGCAGCCTGGCCAACATGGGGAAACTCTGTCACTACTAAAAATACAAAAAAAAAAAATTAGCTGGGTATAGTAGCGGGTGCCTTTCATTCCAGCTACTTGAGAGGCTGAGGCAGGAGAATCGTTTGAACCTCCCCAGGATGGAGAGGTTACAATGAGCTGAGACTACGCCATTATACTCCTGCATAGGAGACAGGATGAGACTCCATTTCAGAGAAAAAAAAAAAAGGGCTAGGCATGGTAGCCACATCTGTAATTCCAGCACTTTGGAATTACAGGCTTAGGATGGCAGATCATGAGGTCAGGAGTTCAAGACCAGCTTGGCCAACATAGTGAAACCCCATCACTACTAAAAATACAAAACATTAGCTGGGCTTGGTGGCACATGCCTGTAGCCCCAGCTACTTGGGAGGCTGAGGCAGGAGAATTGCTTGAACATGGGACTCAGAGGAAAAAATATATTTACTAACAATGTGGCATGGTACAATTATGATGTCACAACCACAGTTATGTAACAGCCAGGCAATACTGCAATTCTGTATGATATGCATTGCCCTTAGTTATCTAGTTCACTGTGCATGAAATATAAAACAGAATGTTTACTGGAAAAATTTATAAACTGAGATCAGAGAAAACACTGCATAAAACAAACTGCAAAATAAAACCGTTACGAATATGATGCAGACTCCCTAGAATGAATGTTCTTATTGGTGAAAAGCCATGTTGAGAGCTCTGATTCTCCAATAGGATGTTCCTGCACATGGAGCCTTTGAGAAACTTTGGTCATGGGTGTTGACTACTCGTGAATAGGATCAGTGCTTTTATAAAAAGAGACAGTCAAGAGCTCGTTGCCTTTTCCTCTTTCCACCATGTCAGGACTCAGCAGGAGGATGGCTGGGCTCAATCACGAGAAGGTTCTCACCAGGAACCAATGTGGCTGCACCTTGCTCTTGGAGTTCCCACTTTTCAGATTCATGAGAAATACACTGCTGTGTCTTAAGCCTTCCAGCTTAAGCTATTTCTTTTTGTTCGTTTGTTTTTGAGACAGAGTCATGCTCTATCACTCAGGCTGGAGTTTTGTGGCATAATTCTCCTGCCTCAAGAGATTCTCCTACTTCAGCCCAGAGTCTCACTCTGTCATTCAGGCTGGAGTGCAGTGGCGCAATCTTGGTCACTGAAACTTCCACTTCTCGGGTTCAAGCGATTCTCCTGTGTACCTGGGATAACAGGCATGCACCACCATGCCCAGCTAATTTTTGTATTTTTAGTAAACATGGTTTCACCATGTTGGGCAGGCTGGTCTTGAACTCCTGACTACAGGTTATCTGCCTGTCTCAGCCTCTTAAAGTGCTGAGATTACGGGTGTGAGCCACCGCGCCTGGCCAATTTTTTGTATTCAGTAGATTCGAGGTTTCATCATGTTGGCCAGACTGGTCACGAACTCCTGATTACAAGTGATCCACCCACCATGGCCTCCCAAAGTGCGGGAATTAGAGGCATGAGCCACCACAGCCAGCCAGTCTAAGCTATTTCTGACATGACAATAAAGTGACTGAGACAGAAAAAGGAGCATCTCATCATCAACATCATCAAAGGCTGACAAATCTTTTTTTTTTTGGGACGGAGTTTCGCTCTTGTTACCCAGGCTGGAGTGCAATGGCGCGATCTCGGCTCACCGCAACCTCCGCCTCCTGGGTTCAGGCAATT